GGGGGGGGGGGGGGGGGGGGGGGGGGGGGGGGTGGGGGGGGGGGTGGCGGCGTGACCTGTTCTCTCTGCACGCCACCACACGGTGGCGCTGTTGGCTTCTGTGTTGTGGTGGCCCAAGGGGCTTCTGCCTGCAGTGCTCTCTGCTCTCCGCTCACCTGGGTCCCTGCTGCAGACTCAGCAACATTTCATTCGCCAGAATTTCAAATAATGGCAGGTAAATATCTCTTCTCGAATTCTCCAAATAGGATTTTTAAACCCCCCAAAGCGGTAATTTTGGGCTCACCATGATGAGAGGCATCACGGAATTCCTACATCCAACCGGAAGTTTATTAACGTTACCAGAGGCAGTGATTTTATCAGCTGAAGGGAGCAGCTGAAAACCCTTGACTCACTGTACGGTCACCTCTCAGTGTCTGCTTTCAAGTACAAGGTCATATAGGGAGTTGTTTCTTATCTCTTAAAATCTTAGAAAGAATTCAGGGTAATTGATGAGTCCGTTCAAGTAAAATTTGAATGGCGATTACTTAGACTTTACAGACTTAAAATTTGCCACCATACATGGCTGTCCTGTGTGTAGCATAAAAGTAAGGTGGAGAGAGACCTCACATCTATCTGACGCTTTTGATTTAGGAGATAGAAATTGGGACTTGGCTTGATGTCAGGCGGAAGGCTTATGTAATTAAGTATTATTTGTTGATCTTCCTGGGAACAGCAGCTGTGATCTAGCCGGTAGGTAGAGTCTATAACTCCCTTTTCCTTGGAACTGGGTTGATAAATGAAAGGTCAGTGAGAGCAGGTGCGTGCGTTGGCTGAAGCTAAAGCTCTTGAGCTCAGTCCTCTGGGCTTAGCCATGGCACCCCAGCCCCTTCTGAAGGTTACGTTGCTGTCCCAAAGCACATCTTTCTAGGTGTGGTGTGAGGCTTGGAGAAAAAAAGTTAGTATAACTACTTTTTTTAAAGTTTTAAGGTAACATAAAGTTACAAGATACTTCTGGTTTGGGTCCTTATTTGAGGACCATTACTTAGGAAATATGCTTGTGGTTATCAATGAAATTGATTGCTTTCAAAAGTGAATACATTTGGATGAAAGTCTCAAGTTAGCAACTGCATGTTTCAGAGGATCAGAAACAGACATTTGTGCAGGATCTTATGTGGTTTTTAATAAAGAAATGCTAGTGTCCTTCTATCTCAGACTTCGGGCATTTCGCAGGGCTGGACAATGTCCTGTTCCTTGTAATAATCCTGCCACCTGGGATGTTCGGGTGGGTAGATGGAGGAATGAGTGCTCATCTTTCATTTTCAAGTAGAAAAAATTAGTCTGTGAGGTCGCAGTCAAGCCCAGCAGTTGGGAAAGCACCAGCTGCCTTTTACGTGCTCAGAGGGAAGCCTTGGTGGTCTCCCCTCCTCCGATCCCTGGGACCCCTGCCTACAGTTCCTAGAGGGGCGCCACACGCCGTTTATCTGGATGCTTCTCGGTGTGATTGGATTAGATGGGTATTGAAGTATTTTGGGTTCATACTCTTTTGCCAGATGTGCTCAGCAGATGGTTTCTTACAAACATACTTTACCTCTCATATGAAAAAGTGTTTAACTTCAGAATCATAAGTATATTTTAGATAAGAGCCTCCTGGTTTTGAAGACTACTTCTGCTGTTGCAGTTTTTAAACCATTGGTTTTTCTGTGTCCACCCTTAAGTCTTTCTGTTAATCTTCTTTTTAGGTCCTACGGCTCTTTTGGCTCATGAAATAGGTTTTGGAAGCAAAGTTACAACACACCCACTTGCTAAAGACAAAATGATGAATGGAAGTAAGTATATGCTTCTATTTTAATGTCTAGAAAGACCTTCCAGAAAGCTGCCATTTAGCGTTGTTTCCTGCCCAGGTTAGCCCTGTGCAGAGAGACTCTGTGGGTTGAGGCGTGGGCTGTTCCTAGCTTTCTTCTCAAGCATTCCAGCTAGAGAGAGGGGAGAGAGAGGGAGCAAGCAGGGGGGCAGAGATGGTGTGTGCCTGTTTCTGTGTGTGCCCTGACGGGGACGCGGGCTACGCAAAGGCCAGCCAGACGCCCGATTGTCCTAGATGGGAATGGTTATGAAATGCCAGGTTTACTAGGATTTTTTACTAAACACTTTGCCAGATGCCTGAGGGTAAACTTTAAACCTTGACAGCAGTTTCAGAAAGTGCCCTTTCGCCTGCAGTCCAGAGTAAAGTGAATATTGCTCTCTTCCTGGGTGGTGGGTCTGTTTCCTTGGGTGACATTGTTTTGGTTTTTTTTGTTCGCTCATTTAGATTTGTTTGTTTATTTTTAGAGAGAGCAAGAGGAGAGGGAGGAGGGGCAGAAGGAGGGGAACAAGCAAACTGCCCGCGGAGCAGGGAGCCCTACGGAGGGCTCGATCCCAGGACCCTGAGGTCATGGCCTGAGCCGAAACCAGGAGTTAGTCAGCTGACTCGGCCACCGAGGTGCTCCCTTGGGTGGCATGTTTCTTCTATAAATAACAGCTAGACAGCTAACTTTTATTAATTTATTTTTATAAAAACAGTTTATATTCGTGGTGCAGAGTGTAAACAGTACAAAAGGGGGATGAAGTCAAAACCTAAAGATGCCTTTTCGTACCTCCTTGCCCCCTTTCTGCTTTTCAGCGGTAGCTTCTGTTACAAAGTTCCGTGTGCAACATTATCCTTTGTATTTTAATGGTTTGGGTTTTTTTCTCTTTTTTTTTTTTTTTTTTTTTTAGATTTTTATTTATTTATTTATTTGACAGAGAGAGAGAGAGAGAGAGAGAGAGAGATAGATCACAAGTAGGCAGAGAGAGCGGGGGAAGCAGGCTCCCTGCTGAGCAGAGAGCCCAATTCAGGGCTTGATCCCAGGACCCTGAGATCATGACCTGAGCCAGAGGCAACGGCTTAATCCACTGAGCCACCCAAGTGCCCCTGTATTTTAATGTTTTTACTCAAATGAGATCTAGATACATTGTTTTGCTGCTTGCTTTTTAAACCTAAGATTGTATCCTTTGGGCGCTGGGGGGTGGGAGTCATCTCTCAAGCATTTCTTTAACTAGAAGGCGGTGTGTAACTCCCAGCAAAGCAGGGTGACCAGGCATCTGAGGTACGAGTCCGTACTGATAGAGCTTTCCTCGTGACCACCGCCGCTCCCAGCACGAGCTTCAGAACACCAGCCCCGTACTGTGTTCTGTCAGACAGGTGGCGTCTTCCTCTGCCATCTGTCCCTGGAGTGCCTGTAGCAGAGAGGCAGAGACCTGGGAACTTGCAAAGAGAGAGAAAACTCACACTCGTGTGGGTAATTGCAAAAGCACCTGAAATTTCCAGTTAGAAGCCAGAAGTGGCTCGGCTGGCGCTCAGCCCGCAGGGAGGCAGAGCGGCTGGCTCTGGGTAAAACGTCAACCAACCTCATTTCGCTGAGCAAACAAGAAGACAACACGGTAACGTTAGCAGCTGATTTCGGGGTTACCTTTTTTCCCCTGCCTCAGGCCTGCTGGAGGCTGATACTGAACTAAGACAAAAAGGAGGGCAGGTAGCATCACTTTTGCGGTCTTTACAGCCAAGTCGAGTTGTGCATTTTCACTGTATTTTTTCTTCTAAGTAGCAGACCTTGCTTTTCAGAGCAGTGTTAGGCGCACAACAAAATGAAGCTGGATGTGCGGAGTTCGAGCACGCATCCTGCCTGGGCGTGTGCACCGTCTTCCTAGCCTTCCTCTCCCGCACCCGAGCAGTCTCTGAGTTACGGTCTGTGAACCTGCCCTGACGCGTCATTATCGCCCCAAATCCATCATTTATATTAGGGTTCGCTCTTGCTGTTGGACATTCTGAATATTCTTTTTTTTTTTTTTTTTTTAAGATTTTATTTATTTATTTGACAGAGATCACAAGAAGGCATAGAGGCAGGCAGAGAGAGAGGAAGGGAAGCGGGGTCACTGCTGAGCAGAGAGCCCGATGCAGGGCTCGGTCCCAGGACCCTGAGATCATGACCTGAGCTAAAGGCAGAGGCTTAACCCACTGAGCCACCCAGGCGCCGCCTCTATTCTGAATATTCTTAAATCTGATCCAAGGTAGTATATTCTTAAAAACTTAAAATTTTATTTTAGTTGCTGGGAAGATACTAAGTTATTGATAAAACCATCTGGGAGGAAAGTGATTTTTTTTTTTTTTTAAAGGCTCTTGCTGCTGGGCATTTTTAAATGTAGGAATAGAATTTACTTGGGGTGCCTGGGGGGCTCAGTTAAGCGTCTGCCTTTGGCTCAGGTCTTGCTCCCAGGGTCTGGGGGTCGAGTCCCACATTGGGCTCCCTGGTCAGTGGGGAGTCTGCTTCTCACTGTCCTAGCCCAACCCCCTGCTCATGCTTGAGCACGTACTCACGCTCTCTCTCACTGTTAAATAAATAAAATCCTTAAATCTAAGATCTTAAAAAAAAAAAAAAAAGGATCTACATGGAGCTAAAGGAGAGGTTTGGGAGAGTTGGAAAGATCAGAATCAGGCTTCCTTTAGTCCTGACGACATTGGGGGAAGGGTTGAGGAGTAGGCCATGTTCCTCCTTTATCTGAAGGTGATCTGTTGTGTCTATTCTCTTGTAATGCCTCAAGAACACTGAGGTTGATTAGGAATAGAAGCAGATTAGATTGTTAACTCTTGGAGTTTATAAAGTACATTCATAGACATTATCTCCATGGAGCCTCGCAGGCCCTGGTGCCCAGCGAGGCAGGTACTGACTTCACAAATGAGGAAACCGGCTCGGAGAGGCCCCGCGACTTGCCCAGAGTCAGGCTGGAACTCAGGCCCCGCCTCTGTCCCAGTGAGGCTCCCACACACGTTTAAGTTATGAGGTATTGAGTTCAGCCAGTAAGTCCTACTGTGAAGAGAAAAGTGCTGGAAGCATCTGCCCCTTCAGAGGCTCTGGGAGGCGGAGCTCTCATCAGCTCCTGGATGTCTCCTCTGGTGCTCAGTAGATAAGAGTGAAATTTTTGCTCAGATAAGCAATCCAGTGAGAAGACTGACATAGTCTTCCCATTTCTCAGTTTTTAAATGAAGCAATTGTGACTTTAATAGCCTTTTCAGTTCCTCCCTGTTGGTGGTGCTAGCAGGCATCTGGAGGCCCAGCCTGGAAGCTGAGCCCAGAGGAGCTGGGCCCCGGCCAGGCCATGTGGGCGCGGCTCCCTGCTGGGGGCGGTCTCCTTCCCCCACCGAGCCTTGGTTTCTCACCTGTCCTCTGAGGATACCGGTGGCCCCTGCTTCGCAGGGCTGTTGACAGGTCCCGTGAGTTACTTACTATGTGTAATGCCTGCAGAATGTTGCCTGGCACGAGCCCGCGTGGGGGAAGGGAGAGCTGGTAAGTGCCCAGCTCTGGGCCGAGTGCTAGGAGCCCCACAGTGAACAGATTGTCCTCACCGGGCCGCCGTGTGTTGTAATGACACCACCCCCTGGTCCTGCTCCTCCACGGGACTGGACTCCCACAGCAGGCTTGGGCGGGTGGCATCCTCCCCATTTTACAGAAGAAAAAAGTCAGGCTCAGAGCAGTCAGCTGACTGCTGAGTGTCAGCCCTGGGATTTGAATCCAGAGCTGCTGTGCTCAGAGGTCAGTGACTTTTTCCTTAAAGGGCCGGAGAGTAAATATTTCGGGCTTTCAGGACATTGGGTGTGGATGGCAGCTACTCTGCTGTCACAGAGCCACTGACCAAGTGGGTGAGACGTGTGCCAGTAAAAGCTGCGGTTTGGTGCCGACCCCTCAGGTCCAGTTGCCTTTCCTCTGAAGAGACTTCTGGATGTGGGATGCTTGCGTAAAGTTAAAAAGAAATTAATAATTAATGCTTCGTGGCAGTTGGCTATGGGGTGTCAGTTTGCAGAGTTCCCAAATCCACATCAGCTGAACTGCGTGCACCCGGCTGGGGCTCGCGGGTCCCAGCGTGTGCGTGTTGTCCTTGTCCGTCACTGCCGCTAGGTGGAGGTAGTTGGCCAGTATGGACCGTTTGTTCCATCTGGTGGAAACTGTGGAAAGAGCTGTGGAGCCTTCAAAGGTCTTTAACCAGTCTAAGCTGTGTTTGTAATATTTGCCCACGAAGGGGTTGTTCGGTGAGCCGTTTAGAAATCACCTCACCAACAGTTCATCTGTGAGCTCCGGAAGATCCGACCCAGCCAATGTTCTGGTTTAGCATCTGACATTGCCTTGGCCTGGTGTAACCATCAGTAAGTGAGGTTAGAGATGAAAACCTTTTCTCTTCAAACTGGAGATGATCTTTTTTTCTCTAGTAGGGTAACTAGGAAACTTGTGCTGTGCTGTAGGCAGTTATTTTCGTGAGTGACTTGATTTCTAATAAGGATAATAGGACATAAACTGCGCTAGGTGTTCTCGATCACTCGCAAAGGACGTGAACATGAGTGTGTGGTTTCTAAAGCCCGAGAATGCAGTGGAAGCTGGGTGGGGTCTGTGTGGCGCCACCAGCGGCCCCATCGCCCAGGACAGGCAGTGGGGAGTCCTCATTGCCACCCCACGTTTGGTCCTGCGTGTTGTCTCTGAGGTTTCTCAAACTTTCATTTCTTCTCTGTCCCCACTGTCCCCACCCAGGTCACCTTAAGCTCCCACCAGGATGGCAAGTTCTTTTCTGTCTTCCCCTTTGGTTCCTTCCAGTCCAGTCTCTGCGTGGGTCTGACCCAGAGGGTGTGCCCACCAGGATGGGGAGTACAGAGTCACCTTTAGGTGCTGGAGGAAGTTGGCAAAGGCTTCTCCTAGGGGCAGAACCAGATACGCTCTGATGTGCACTTTGGAAGGGTGACCTTTTGTGGTGCTGAGCAGTGAGTGGCGAGAAGGGCAGCCGAAGGGGAGGGCTGGGATGCGCAGATTGTGTGTGAAGGGGCAGATGCGGAGAGGAGAGAACAGGCGTGTTCATAGGTTCCCCTGACACGTGGGGGCACCCTCAGGGTACCATCAGTATTCTAGGCCAATGGCGGCCCAGCCTTTTGAAGAGCAGGCAGTAAACAAGGAGACTGTTTGTACCAGGTCAGTCCTGGGAGGTGCTGGTGTAGTGACCCGAGCAACCCCATCTGGGGAGGGATCGCGTATACTTCCTCTGAGGGGTGGTGGGAGGAGGTGGGAAGAGCTTTCTGTGCAGTGGAGGCAGGGGCCTGGGGAATGCCAGGTGGGAGCCCGGTGGGGACAGGTTGGGGAGGGTGGGGGGCCAGGTCGCGGGGGCACTGCTGCTCCTGAGGAGTTCGGGCCTGGTTAGTCTGTGCACAGGGACGTTTGGTGACTGCTTGTGCGGACGGTATGGCCTTGGGGAGCTGATGCTGAGGAAGCCCAGCTTTGTGGCTGTGATTTGCCCAGATGTCACATTCACTGAATTCAGATACAGGGGAAGCACATTCTTGTTTTATTGTATTTGCCTCCAAAAAGCCAATTGGGGAACACAGAAGGGGCCCCCGAGAAATGAATATGGTTTCTCCCTCCACTCATCTCCCTCACCCCGCCCCTGTGTGTCATGTCTAGTTTTTGCTTCTTTGTTTCTGAGACAGCGCAGTGTGTGTGTGTGTGTGTGTGTGAGTGTGTGAGAGAGAGAGAGAGAGAGAGAGAGATAGATAGATACAGGCAGTCTGAGGGGGACTCTGAGTGACAGGTAGTCTGCATGACAGGAGTCTGTGTGACAGGTAGCCTGTGACACGGCGTCTGCGTGATAGGAAGTGTGCGTGGCAGGCAGTCTCCGACGTGGAGTCTGGCGTGCCGTCTGCGGGGCGGCAGTCTGTAGAGAAGGGGAAGGGAAGGTGGGCCTCTCAGGAGAGAATAACTGATTTTCAAGAAAGATGAAGGGGCCCTTGGGAGAACACATGGGAGGGGTGATGGTTTGTGACAGTCTGGGCATGGTGTGGACTTCTGGTCCCCTCTCCTGGGACACGAGTCCGTCCTCCCGGTTGATGGACTCCCGAGGGGACAGACAGCCGAGGAGGACCAGGCTTCAGGCAGGAGCGGGGGGTCCAGAGGGAGCCCCTCCCAGTGCTGGCCGTTCTGCCGGTGGTCGGTGCCCAGGCGGACCCTCGAGCCCCGCAGATGTGCCCGGCCTCCCTCCCCCATGCGGCCTCACGCGCGCGAGGGCTTTCACAGGTGCATTTGCCCTGCGTGAATTGCGGTGTGTCCCTCAGCGGCCGGATGTCTTCGCCTCCCGGCCATGGGCAGTCGCCGTCGTGGGTCCGCGCGGTGCTCGCTGGAGCCCTGTCCGCCTCCCGGCGCCGTCCCCGGGGCTGGCTCGGGTTGGTTGGGTCGCCGAGAGGCCAGTCCTGCGCTGCATCGGGCGCGGGCTCGCGGAGCGGTGCTCACTGCTGTCCCGCAGAGCCCGCTGCAGTGTAACCCCTTCTCGTTCGACTTTGCAGGTCATTACAGCTACTCCGAGAACCGCGTGGAGAGGGACGGCCTGATCCTCACGAGCCGCGGGCCCGGGACCAGCTTCGAGTTCGCGCTCGCCATCGTCGAGGCGCTGAACGGCAAGGACGTGGCTGACCAAGTGAAGGCCCCGCTCGTTCTTAAAGATTAGAGCAGAAATCTTTGATCACGAAGTAGGGAAACAGGCCATTGGTAATCGTTGTCAGCGTGTTCACTCGAAGCAAAATGGGCAATTCCTGCGCAGGGCGGCCTGGTCGCTGCCCCTGAGCGGACCTTCCCCGCCTGCGCCCGGTCCCCATGGTCCTGAACCTCGATGACAGAGTACATGGCATTTAGCAAACTACCGATAGTGACCTTGTCTCTGCTTTCCCCTCGGTGGTGTGTGTGAAACCAAAGTCACGGTCAGCCTCCCTTGCATCTGTTAGCTGTCGGTAGAGCTGCTGGGCTACACGAGCACGGAGCTCACTGGACACAGCGAGGAGGAGAAGCGGAAAAGCCAAGATCTAAGAAGCTTGTGATTTTCCCCCGTTTGTCAGCTGTGTATTGTTAATGTGCTATTAAAATCACTGATGAAGTCAGCTGCCCTAGTGAATTTTTGTTGACCAGTTCCTTTTTCTGTTGCAGAAAGGGTCCTCAGATGGAAGTGAAAACCTCTCGAGGCTGGCCCAGCCTCTGTGTTTGCTTCTTCGGGTAACAGACGTGAGGGGCTGATGCGCACGCAGCCCGGGCCCACCAGCCAGGGTCCCCCCTCCCCCATCCCTGCCCACGTGACCCGGGTGAGACCCACCCGTGCATGCGACTCCATTCTGGGCCCTCTGCTGTGCCTGCCGCTGCCGTTCTGTCTGCTGAGCGGCCAAGAGGACAGGCAGGGAGGCTGGAGCCGCTGGCAGCCAACCTGTCACTGAGGAGAGCCTGGCCAGGAATGCTGGGAACTGTGCTTGGCCTGGGATCCCGTGGGACCTGCACAAGAGCCACTCTTGGCTGTTCACAGAAGCCAGCAGATTCCCGGCGCTTTTTCGCCTCCTGATGAGTGACTGCTGCATCTCCAAAGGCACGGAATAGGGTTAAGGCTGCTTCTTTTTTTTTTTTTTTTTTTTTTTGACAGAGATCACAGGCAGAGAGGCAGGCAGAGAGAGAGGAGGAAGCAGGCTCCCCGCCGAGCAGGGAGCCCGAGGCGGGGCTCCATCCCAGGACACCAGGACCATGACCTGAGCCGAAGGCAGAGGCTTTAACCCACTGAGCCACCCAGGCGTCCCGGGAGCTTAAGGCTTCTGAACATGGCACTGAGCTACTGAGGAAAACCCTTAGCTGAACGACCTCATCGCGTGATACCTTTTCTTCTTTGCTCCCATTCCTTTGCCCTTGCCCTCCTCTGGCAAAGAGCAAATGCAGCAAACGTTGTAGAAAGGCCAGCTGGTAACTTTTAAACAAGTGGGCCATAAGGTCTCTGGCACAGCTACTCAGGGGGCCTTGTACCGCCAAAGTGGCAGACTAGGCGCACGTTAGGCAATAATCATGGTTGTGTCCCAACAAAATCAGCAAAACCAGGCAGCTGTGGGCATTTGGCCCTTAGGCTGCACTTTGCTGACCCCTGGACTGGGAGGCAAGGCGGGTCATTTTTTTTTTGTTTTTAAAGATTTTATTTATTTGATAAACAGATCTTAAGTAGGCAGAGAGAGAAAGGAGGAAGCAGGTTCCCCGCTAAGCAGAAAGCCCGATGCGGGGCTCGATCCCAGGACTCTGGGATCATGACCTGAGCTGAAGGCAGAGGCTTTAACCCACTGAGCCACCCAGGCGCCCCTGGATCATTTTTTTTTTTTAAATGCAGACATGTAACTGTGCATTTTGATAAACTGTGGTGCTATAAAGAGACCACTAAGGGAGACAGGACGGTTGAGACTTCTGAGAGGAGAGTAGGGGAAGGAGGCAGTAGGGTCACTGCAGCTGATTAGAGAAGCCCTCTCTGGAAAGGGACCTTGGAAACCTGGGACTTGGGTGTGAATGAGGCAGGTCTGGTAGCATTCCAGGAAGGAAAAGCCGGAAGTGCTAAGGGCCTGAGGCAGGAGCACCCAGGGTGCGGAGGGACAGCAAGGGGGCCGGTTGTGGGGGAGCTCAGGGAGGTGCATGAAGTTGGGGAGGCAGCTGGAGCCAAGGCTTGGAACTTAAGAGAAGGAGCCATTAGGGAGGGACCCAGTCTTACTTGGCTCAAAGACCCTGCTGAGAAGGGCCGCTGCAGGCCCAGGGGTGGGAGCTCTGAGGCATCAGGGCGGAAGGCAGTGGTCGGTGCCTGTGCACGAGTGGGAGAAGCGGCGCTAGGGCGCTTGGCCGCCTCTCTGGCTTGAACACAAGGTCAAATGGAGCTTCTGTGTCTGGAGCCGGAGGAAGTGGTTGAGGGTGGGTGGGGTGACTGGAGATGAGATGGACAAACGGGGTGTCTGTAAAACACACTTTCACTGAGGAACGAGGAACCAGAAAGTCCCAAATTACTGACCGGAGAACAGTGAGCATTTGTAAACTCTGAAGTTCCCTGGGTTTTACCAGCCGCCCCTGGCTCTGAATAGGCCCCTGGAATTTCAGAGGATCCACAGAGAATGGGGGATCATTTGAATTTTTGTGCCCTTAGGGCAGCCAGAAAAGGTGGTTCCAGAGTGGCCGACAATGGAAGAGCATTTCTGAGAGGATCCTGAATCCGAGCTCAGGTGTTACCAGGGAGGGTTTTTCCTGCCGCGGTTTGGGGCAGGGGCGGCCACCTTGCCTACACCTCAGGCCCCTCTGGCTGGGTCAGGAGCCACTGGCTTTAGACACATCAACAGGCAGCGGCTTCCACCCTCTCTAGCTACGGCTTTCGGTGCTAAACACCTGCTGTCCTCCGAGGGAGCTGGGGGCGGGGAGCAAGCCACACGTGGGAGCATTTGAAAGCACCTGGAGTTGGAGGTTAGGGCTGTGGCCTGTCCAGCTTGACTGGCTGAACCCTCCTAGGCCTGGGGGTCGCCGAAGGTCAAAGTTGGAGGGACTTTGGCCCCACTTCACCCACTCAACCTTGGGGACACCAGCCACAGCTTTGGGAGCTCCCTCAGGCTGCCCACGTGGCCCAGATGGTGAGGGAGGAGAGCGGCTCCAGGAATCAAGCTCCAGCCCAGAGCTCGGTCCTGAGAAAGGAGAAAATGACCTGGAGGGACACAGCCCAGCGCTGGGCGGGAATGGCAACTCTCGAGGGAAGTGACGGCCAGACTGCTCTTCGGGAGGGGAAATCGGGGACTGTGTTTCTGGTGTGATTTAGGACACTAATGTGAAAGGTTTCATCGGGCGCGCAGGGGCTGGAGGCAGGACTGCTTGTTGAGCGCCTAGTGTGGACCAGGTGACCCACTTCTTTCACACGCTATGCAATGGGGATGGCGCTGCGCGCCACCCCGTTCTGCCCCTTGTGGGGCACCGGTTCTGCCGGAGGGATTCGCTGTGCCCCCTTCAACCCAATCCTCTGCGCCCACAGCCTTACGACGAGGCTGGAGTTGCCATCCATCGTGAAAAAGAAAAAAACCTCGTCTCTTGAGAGGTCGAGAACTTGTCTGTCCTGTGCAGCGTAGGATTGCTGCAAGGCTCGAAGGCCACGATAAAAGGGAAGTACCTTTTCTTAAGCTACGAAACATGACATGTAAAGTACTATTTTCAGTGCGGCCGACTGTCTCATCTCAGAGTCTGCTTATGTGTTCTCTGTTCTAGGGTGCTCGTTCCCTAAGGAATAAGGAGAACATTAAATTTTCCTGCAGAATAATCTCAGCTTTTTTTTTTCCCCCTTTTAAGGAAATTCCCTATCTTTGCCCTTAGGGGACCTTCCGAAGTCACACCTGCCTGCCGAGTCATCGGGCGGCAGTGAGGTGTGCAGGAAGGGGCCGCAGGAAATCCTGTTTGCATCTGGCCCGGACACACCCTGTTTGCTCCCAGCGTGGGGTTCTTCTGGAGCTGGCCCTTCGCCCTGTCCCAGCTCTGGCCTGAGGCCCCAGGCCCGGGGCTTCCGGGGGCCCTGGAGAAAGGCTTCTCCAGCTCACCGTTTCCACCATCGCTATCGTCTTCATCACCACCGTCCTCTCTGCTTCCTGCAGCCTGAAGGGGCTGTTCCACGTTCTCGAACCAGTCCTGGGCCAGTGGCCACGATCGTCAAACCTGATGAGGTCTGCCCACAGGGCTTCATGGCTCTACGGCTTTATTTTTGCTTTTTCAGTTCTGTGTGTGACCATGTCCTCGAGGCCTCTCTTTCTTGAAAAGTATTCTGTTTTTGAGTTCAGCCTGCTCTTGGAAATTTTTGCTTGGCTTAAAACTAACATGAGAGGAGCACCAGGCTGGCGCAGTCAGTGCAGTGTGCGAGTTTGATCTTGGGGCGTGAGTTTGACTCCCACGTTGGGGGTAGAGATTACTTAAAAAAAAAAATTCAAATAGAAGTCTTAAAAAAAAAAATTCGAATGAAAAGTTCTTTGTCTTCAGAAACAAAGACAAGAACAAAATTTCAGGTAATGCAGGAACCACACATAGACGCAGCTCTTGGGTTGGGGACAACAGACTCTGGGAAGCTGCCTGGTAAGAGAGCCACCAGGATCAGGGTGCTGGGCCTCACTGGACCCACATCTCTGAGTATTTTTTTTTTTTAAAGCTAAACAAAGGTGAGTATGCCATAAAAAGTACGCTCGGCTGAGGTTTCTTCTTTCAAAGGGAGGATAATTTCACTAAGTTGACTGAAGAGAAAGTGGTGCTTTGTTTTTACAACCAAATGGAATGTAGCCAGTGTCAGCCCTGAATTCCTGTGTTCCGAGGATCTGTCCTTCCAGCCTGGCCATTGGGTGGAGGCCTTGGGCCCTGCCTGCCCTGAGCCCCCGGGGCCCCAGCACCGTGTGTGGTCAGTTTCACAAACAGCACAATTCTCTCCAGTCCTGTCGCTGAATGACCAGCCCTGGAGATAGCGGTGGGGGTGGCAGGGGCTGTAAGCCCGCAGCCTTGCGAAGGATGACTTCACCCGGTGAGAGGCAGGTGGAAGATGGTACGGAAGCTGAGAGCCAGAGACCATCCCTTCGGATTTACTTTATGCGGCGAATCATTGCAGGAATAAAACGTGCCTGTTCACCAGCAGGAATGAGATCACCCTCTTTTCTAATACTTGGTTA